AAGTTGATAAGTCATCTGTACACCACTTTGGTCATTCAGAAAATTAGCAACATACGGTTAAATTGCAACACCATATTTTACATGTAAAATGCTCTGCAAACTGAAGTGTGTACATAGTACACTCCTATTAGAGCATGCTTCCAAGTACACTCTTATTTACAGCATACTTGCTAGGCACACGCTAAAATAGAGTGTGCCTGGCAAGTACACGCTAAATAAGTGTGTACCTTCCATGTACACGCTAAAATACACTTGATAAGTCCTATCTAAAAGCATGGGCCAGTTTAAGTGTACTTGCCAGGTACACTCTTATTTAGCGTGTACATGCAATGTACACTCTATGTAAGTGTGTACCTAGCAAGTATGCTGTAAATAAGAGTGTACTTGGAAGCATGCTCTAATAAGAGTGTACTATGTACATACTTCAGTTTGCAGAGCGGCCCTGATATGCCCAAATCTTTAGTGAAAATAGTGAAATTGAGCAACTTTGAGAGCCCGTAGCATCCAAACCCGACGTCGTAGAGCCTCGTTCGACACGGCATTCGAAAGAGCGCATTACAGATAAGGAGACCATCAACAATAAGGTAATTTTTTATTAATTGCACTAGTACTGGTAAATAGCAACTCACTTTTATAGGTAGAGGTGTGAATGGGGGTAATGGAGGGGACGAGGCCCTGCTTGCTGCTTTATCTACCGAAACAGATACAGGAGATAAAGATAAGTATGCAACTTATAGAAAACAAATAAGCTTTAAAGAGCTCATCTTGTACACATCAAACATACTTTTCAAAGCTTCCAGCTCTCTAAATGCCTTGTCGAGGTCGGCCTTCACCTCATCCGTTTTTGCGACCGTGTTCTCTTCCGTCCTCTCTTCCGTGTTACAAGCAGCAGTGGCATTGCCTGTCTCCAAAGAAGTTGATAAGTCATCTGTACACCACTTTGGTCATTCAGAAAATTAGCAACATACGGTTAAATTGCAACACCATATTTTACACCCTTACAATAGCGAAGAGTTCCGAAACCTAGCCAAGGACTATTCCAAACTTGTCCTCCAGCCCCGGACAGTTCCGCTTTCCCTCTGGTTAGGCCCGAATAGAGTCCGGGCCGAATCGGAGTCCGGACCGGACAGTTCCGTTTCTTGGTTTCTGAACCACTCAAAGTCAAGGACTGTCCGAAAGAGTCCTGCCTAGGTGCAGCTGGCCCGGGCCCGGGCCGAGCCGGGGCGCCCGGACGTCCCGGCAACTGGGTACGCGGAAAACGCCGCTCGCCGGCGTGCCGAAGCAAGCCGAAGGCCCGAAGGGTCGCCGAGGTTACCTGGCGCCCTGGCGGACGCGGCCAGAGATGCAGTTTTCGCCAGTTTTCGGCGCGCTGTTGAGCGAGTCACATCGCACAGCAGCGCATCTGTGATCAGTGAACATAGAGGAACGCGCACAAGTCACATCTACTTTCCACTCGTTACTTTCTCGGAGCGATGTTCAGGCGATTCAGGACTGTTCTATAGAAGTAATTTTTGGTGAGGTGTCGTGTACGGCGTTTTCCTAAACATTGATCGAATTTGAGTGTCCCAAGTGTCCCAAACAAACAACTATCCGCTGGCTGCTGGCTACCGCAAGTGTGTGTGTCTCTCAAACTTGAAGGACGGGCGGTGAGAGGGTGGGAGGTGTATTATTTTATTCGCCTCTCCTCTTTCACCCTCGTCCCCAAGTGTTCTCATCATTTGCAAACAGCTTCAACGAGTTCGCTTGTGCAGGCATGTACTTGCAGGTATGCTACAGTTTGCATGATCAAAATTTGTGTGTAATATTCCACTGGAGGCTGTAAATCGCGTCCCTTGCCGTGTCTGACCGGCCACCGTGCCCCGAGCCGAGCCGAGCCGCCACGACAGTGGTGGCCGCCCAGCCGAGCCAGGTAGGGTGAGCCCAGCCGGCGCTAGGGCGCGCTCCCGCGGAAAATCCCCGGCCGGCCGGCCGAAGCAACCTGCGTCCGAAGGGAAAGGGGGAAAGGGAGGGGCGAGGGGCAGCAGGCTGGTGCATTTGTTCGGACTGTCCGTTTTTCGACCAGCGTTGGTACTCAGGACAAGTCCGGAATCTTTCTGACTTTGGTCTTTTTCAATGTTTTTGGGAACTGTCCGAGGGCGGATTTAGGAACTGTCCCGGTCCGACTTTTGGAGCCGTTTCGGACGGTCCGCAAACGGTTGTTTTTGGCTGCTTTTCGGACTCCAACATTTTCGTACGGGCAGTGTGAGGCTGTATCCCTCCCGGGTCGGCACGACGTGGAGGTGCAGCACCTCGTTGATGTAATGCGCGTGGCATATGCCTATAGAAGACTGATCTCCACCAAGGCCGTCTTTCTGCTCAGCATTATTACCCCCATCCCACCCCCTCCTAAGTAAACTTCCGCCGAAAGGGTTCTTGCCCAGGAAGTGCTGGTCCCTCCCACCACGACGTCATCTTACCTTTAATCTGCCGTCGCACTTCTCTACAAATGGCGACATAGTACACTCCACCTGGAGCCAGGTTAACCTGGCATGAACACTCCACCTGGAGTCAACCTGGCATGTCAAGGAAAACTGGCCAACAAGTATAACAAGCCCCAAGAGATTTAGAATAAGACCCCATAGCATTGTTATACTGACAACCATTAATATAGACAAACAACAGTAAAACAATGTCATCAGCAGAATAACCAGAAATGTGTGATTGCACTGATAAAATTGCATCTGGAAGCTTAAGAATAGTCTAAAGCTTTGCTCTCAAAGGGACAGTGAACTAGGGGCCAGCGTTGTACAAGTCCCGGACCCAGCAGGCAGTTTAGTGGGCCAGAGCACTTGTCAGGGATGTAGCTCTCTGATGGTCAGGGGGTTACTCGGGTGTGAGGGGTGTAGAATAAGGAAAGAGTCCGGTTACCTTGATACAAGCTCTCAGCACTCCCGACACTTGGTTTGGTCTTTGCCGCTGGCAGGCCCCACACCGACTGCCGAGTCCCGGCACGGCTCGCCAGTCGGTTCCCTACCTTCCCGAGCATCTGCCTGCGCTTGCACTTTTCGGCTGGGCGGTCTCCGCGTGACCACCGTCACAGCGTTGGGAGGCGACTTTCGATATCGGCTTTTCGACCGGTCTTAAAATGTTCGAAACTTTGCCAAAAGCCCCCTTTTTAGAGCTCTGTAGGGCTTATTAGCGAATGCGCAGGTCTTAGCTCGGCACACTGTTAAAAAATTTTTCTGAAAATTCAGACTAAATGAACTGAAAAAAATTTCGCAAAAGGCGCTCTGAATTTTCAGACCAACTTTTTCAGAAACATGCGGTCTGAAAATTCAGACCTGTGAAATCAGACCTCAACTCTGAATATGTATTAAGACCTCAAGTCTGAATTGGTATTAAGACCGCTGGACTCTGAAATTTAGGAATTTGGTGAGCTTAAAATTGAGATGTCTTATTTCTTAAAAAATCTCATTCAACGAACGTTAATGAAAGCAGATGATACTCGTTTGGTTTTCTTCTACGGGGTAGTATGGGCTCATTCCAAAGATAATATTTAAAAACTGAGTCCTTTGTGCCGTGGCCTGCACCGCCGCGCCATGAGACTAGGGCTTGGCCGCGCCGTGCCCGTTGGCCCCCTCTGCGCTGTAGCGGGGAGAGATTGTCAATGCTGCGCGCAGGCCGTCGCGCGCGAGGAGGGGGTGCCATTGTCGAATTCCGCGCAGGCTGCGCCGCAGCGACAGACTCATCAGCCCGCCCCGGCAGCCAGCCCCTATTATATTGTTAGGATACGCACTTGGTTTTTGGACTCTCGAGTAAATGCTAGCTGACACCTTTATGTGTCTTGTAGTTTTAGGTATGTTTTTGTAAAGGTATCATCTGCTAAAAAGGGCTTACTGGTCTGAATTTGCTCTCGCAGCAGTTCACTCCCATAATCCTCGCCTCCCTCTTTGTGCGCTGTGCGGGCAAGAAAAAGTAGAATTACAAGTATACCTCCTCGGTGTCATCTTTAATATCCATTTTCTTCAGGATTTCTGCTAACTCTTCATCGGCATCCTTTGAAGGGCCTTGGAACTTTTCATCATCTTGTTCAACAGTCTGAAACATCGACAAAATATAACTAAGGCAGGGTGAATAAGCACAGTGAGAAAAATGGCTACAGATCAAAATATTCACCTTAATAAATTCCTTCACAGCTAATTCTGGACTTGCAGGTTCAGTCATAAGCGCCTTCCCACCACTGTGCTTGATACGTCCAACCAATGCTATAAGAAGGATGAAAATTGCTAGTGAAAGTCACTTTTGTAACCTTAAGGATACTGTCAAGTGAAACTTGCATGTCCTAGAAATAATTTGTCACAGGAAGTTCATTTTGTGGTCAAAATTACACCACTATTAGATAAATTTATACTCAAAGTTGGGGACTCCAACTCTAACTAGTTTCTGAGTTATGGAGGTTCACGTAAACTTTTGGTCGTTTCCTCCAAATTCTTCTCACGACAAAGGATTAGTAGGGATAGTGAGTTTATGCTTTGCGCATAATCGCATAATTTTCAGGAAGTGTACGAAATTACTTTCTAACACATGTTTGGGGGTCCCCATGACTCTGGGAGTCCATTATTTTGTCGCATAATGTCGCATAATTCGACCCTATTCGCAGCATAACCAATAAATCGCATAATGGGCGTATAATCCAGGCCAAAATCACCTCAAGTCGTCTTTTTTCGTCTTTTCGACGCTATTTCCAAGCTGGTTTGGGATATGCATTTGAATTTACGCGCGCGGCGCAGTCAGTGCCTTCTCGAAACGACGCGAACGGCCAAGCGGCGGGCCGAGGGTGCCGCGGTAGTGGTGGGGGGAGGTGTGTGTGTGTGTCGGCGTCCGAAGCGTCGAGAAGCGTGCACGCGAAGGTTCGGTGTTTTTGTGTGTGGTGTGGGCGTCATCAACAAGTGAAAATGGGAAAATCTAGACAAAAAAAAGTGACAGTATCATCACGCGCTGATGAATACAAAAGTGAAAGCATGTATGTGTTTGATCGGGCCAACAAAATCATGATGTGCCGCGTCTGTGATTGTCGAGTGGCCTGGGAGCGAAAAAGTGTTGTGGACCTTCACTGTGACTCGAATGCTCACAAACAGAAAAAGGAAAAGGACAAGCAAGATCGTGCCAACAAGCGGCAGGCGTCAGTGGCTGACAGTTTTGAGCGTGCTAAAAAAGCTAAAATTGACAGAGAAGTGTTTGTGAAGTCCACAGTACATGCTTTCGTTAAAGCCAACATTCCACTTCACAAGTTAGATCATCCTGAAATGCGTAAATGGCTTAAAAATTACATGCCAGGTAAGACCGTGCCCCTGTGTACTTATTTTCATTCAATGCTAGGAAGGAGATAGTATGTGTCGTGTTATATAAAAAGTTCTTAGTGCGAACATAACCTCTAAATAGTCTGGTGGTCTCAGTTCTTTATTTTTGTCTTCTGTTGACAGGAAGTGGTGATTTGCCGGGATCTGCATGGCTCAGAAGTCATTATCTCCCCAAAATCAAAGCAGATTATGATGAAGAACTTAAGGAAACACTGAAAGGGAGAAAAGTAGTGGTCCTGACTGACGAAACTACAAATAGAAAAGGAGACCCAGCTTAAAAATCCACTCATGAAGTCGAGGTGGAAACAGCGCATTCCACCTAGAAAGTGGCGATTCCACCTTGAGAAGAAGGTAATTCCACGTGGATGACGCCTTTCCACGTGGGCTTTGTAGATTTCCGCCCCGACTTATCTGGGTGGAAAACGATCTGTTCCACCTTGACAAGGTTTCCATGTGGTAGTCGCAAATTTCCACCCCAGCTTTACTAGGTGGAAATAATTCTTCCACCTGGGCAAAATTTCCGAGTGGAAATTAGAATCTTCCACCTGGTATTGTTATTGCCCGTGCGTTGAAGTCTCCGAGCCATTTTCAGATTTCCTCACTAATATGTTAACCTTCATAGCTATCTTAAATCTATGAGCGGAAATGGGTGTAGCGTGAAAAGTTAGGGTGGAAGGATCATTCTCCTCTTGAGTGGCGACGTACCGAGGGCTGACTGATGGACTCAAACACATCTTTCATATTCCGCCTGGAATTTCATTCCACCCAAGTGGAATCCATGTTCCACCCAGGTGGAATCCACTGCAACGTGGAAAATACAATTTCCACCTGGGATGGAAGGGCCACCTTGTAAAAGTAACCAATTATCACCTTGTAAACTGTTTCCACCCAGCCATTTCCACCTGACCCATTTCCACCTTACGTTTTCCACCTAGAAAGTAGCAAGTGGATTTTTAAGCTGGGGAAGCTGCTATGATTATACTGCTTCTAATTCTACCTGACAGTTCACACCCTGACCCTCTCTTGATTGTGGCTGCTGTGAAAGTTTTAAATGCCTGTACTGGAGATGAAGCATCTAAAGCGATCCTTCATGTGAGTATTTGTTACGATTTTCTCTGATACATTCTATTCTTTTTATGAACTATCAACTGTACCTAGGCCTTATGGTTTTGTTTCAGACTCTTGTTGACTTCAATGTTGCCCATGACAATGTGGTTGCTTTGATAAGTGACAGCGCTGCATACATGAATTTGTGTGCTAGACTTCTACGAGAACTGGGACTTTCTAATATGGTCCACATTCAGTGCTGGTCTCACAAACTGGATAAAGTTGCCAAAGTCTTCAGTGACAAGTTGACAAGATTGAATGAGTGTGTTGCTAAAACTAAGAAATTGTTTAAGAACACAAGGAAAAGAAAGCATAGGTATTTGAAATTTTTGACTGATAAATATGCATTTTCCAAAGCCAAAGAGCCCAAGCTTTTTCCACTTCCTGTGATGACTCGATGGGGATCTTGGAGAAATGCTGTTGAGTATTTATCAGAATATGTGGATGATGTTGTAGCATATGCTAAAAAAATTCCTGATTCAGAATCAGTCCAGGCTGTTAACTATTTTAAGAAACTGACAACTGAAGATGTTAATATTATTAAAGCTGAGGCTATTTTCACTGTTGACTATTGTACTCCTGTGACAAATTTGCTGTTGAAGCTAGAGGCTTCCAAGGTAGCCTTCTCTCATAAACTATATTCCAGTATAAATGAAGTGAAGAAAGTGTTCAATGTCTTGAAATCCACTAGTGATGTAAAATCTCAGTTGTACTCAAAAACCAAGAATAGTCTAAGTTCACTCTCTAGTTCTAAGTGTAAGAATTTCCTTGAAAGAGTAAGGTCTGTGAGTGTGAAGTGTGATGGGCTGTTTTGTGAGTTGATAGAGGGTGATGCTGGTCACAAATTTTTTACTGCCTCTCAAAAGTTGTTTGATTCATCCAAAATTGTCATGGGTTCTGTAAGTAGAGAGAGACTTCTTGAGGCCAAGAAAACTATTCCTTTGTTAAATGCTATTCCTGATGAGAATTTCATTGTTCTACATGGGTTGCTGTCAGACAATGTCAAAGAAATAGTAGCTTCTGGACTCTCTCGTGAGATTGACCCAACAGTTAAAGCATTAGAGGCAATGAGGGAAAACCATCCAGATTTTGTGGCTTTGTGTTTTGCTGCTTTGTACATCCCTGTTGCCAATGTTGACTGTGAGAGAGGATTTTCTGCTTATGGAGATATTTTATCTCCCAAACGAACTAGACTCACTACAAGCAACACAGAAGTTATGATGTGTCTTTATTTTGGGGACGATTTAAATAATAATTATAGCAGTGGTATAGGTGGAGAGAATATTGACACCGGCGGCAGGTTTGGTGGTGATGATAATGCTTTCTATGCTGATCCCGATGATCCTGTCTAACTGTGAGTGGCTCATCCCTCCCTGTAATTTGAATTGGTTCTGGCGAAATGTTTTCTGGTCATTCTTTTCTTGTCATGGAAACAATGTTTTGTGTGCTAATTTTTATTTTATACTTACTTACTATTAATAATTTTTATATTTTCATGTGATTTATGATCTCAATGTCTGATGATACAATGTCATATTTAATATTTAACATGGAATACATGTTTCACTATGTGTTTATAACCACTTCAATGTTTTATTTTGCCCTTGTCCTCAAACCCACAGTTTCAAGCATTTCCAATGCACTTAAGGTGAATTTGGCCTGGATCGTGTGTCGTCACAAGGGGAAAAAGCTTTTCGGCACATAAAAACGCATAATTTGAGATTTTAAGCCGCATGAATGGCGCATAATATGCGCGATTTTGTCCGCATAGTCGCGCATAATATGACCGATTTTCGGCGCATAATTTGGGGTTTTAAAAAGTCAAACTCACTATCCCTAAGGATTAGCTACCCAGTCTTCAGAGTCTGGCAATTATATCTATTTTTGCATATGAAAAAGATAGCGTTGTCAAATTTGAAAATATAAGTCTAGAATAGGCTGTAAAAACTAGCTTACCAGGCCCATTTTTATTTTTCTTCAAAGTTGAAAGATTTTGCCTTCTTATTGGTTTTTGTTTTTTCAACAAGATTAAGGGAGATATTTTTTTAAAAAGCAACACTATCTTTTTCCTTTGCTAAAATATATATAATAACAAGAATACAAAGACTGGGTAGCTAATCCTTTGTCGTGAGGAGAATTTGAGAGAAACGACTAAATGTTAACGTGAACATCCATAAGTCGGAAACTACAATAAGGTGGTGCACAACTCTTAGTGCATGAGTTAATGCAATGGAAAGGAACTTTTATCCAGGAATTGAGATATCTGGACAAGTATTTTTTAAAAAAAGTTATAAAGTCACTTTGGTCACTTTAGTCATTATGACCATAAATTTCGTTGCGTATCATCACAAAATCAACTCACCTTGGTTGTAACAATTAACTCACTTTGGCAAGCACACATCCAACACGCACTGGTACCCACGAAGTAATCGTATAAGATTCGTCCAACCAGAAGTTTGAAGTAATATCTGATGAAGGCACTTTGGGGACGAGTGTAAACGGGGAGAGGCGAATAAGTTAGAACACCTCTCGCCCTCTCACCGCCCGCCCCTTCAGTTTCGGGAGATGCGTACAGCGAGCGCAGTCACCACAGCGTCAAGAACGGTCATCAGCAGAAAACACTTCGAACTAAAATGCACTTCTTTCCGTCGACATTACTTCAGCGCGCCGAGCGAGTGGACCTGACGCAAGTAAAACGCGATGTGTGTACCTTGGAAGACTGCTGGAGACTGACGTTTTGCGTGCAGGGCACCAGGTCGGCCAAAACATTCCGAGTTGCCGACGGATTAGCGCTCCCCTCCTTGCCGAGCCAATCAGAGGGCGCCTCCAGCCGGCCCTGCCTCGCCGGACTTTCCGAGAATGCACCGGCGGGGACAGTCCTGAGTCCGCCACACTGGGCTCGGCTCGGTGCTCGGCCCTGTTCGGTGCCGAACGGACTCAGCCGAACAAGTCCGAGACAAACTAGATCGCTTTCGGGCCTACTAGCTTGGCTGGTCAAGGTGCTCCCAGAGCGCTATAAAGAGGGCTACTCTGGGGCGCAAGGTGCTACCTTCGGGGCAGTCCGATTAAGGCAGCGTATGTAGTAAGACAGGGCGAGAGTCAGACGAGTCGGGCAGAAAATTAAGACCGGGCGCTGAATTCTACTTTCAGACTCGCGGGGCAAATTATTAAACCTTGTCCAGCCTGAATTTTCAGACCGCCGCGTCTGAAATTTTTTTCAGACCACAAGGTCCGTATTTTTAGACCTGCGGTCCAAATATTCGGACTCTAGTCCGAAAATGAGATTCAGACAGACAAGTCTGACACTTTCGGTCTGAATTTTCAGAATTTTTTTAACAGTGCAAGCAAGATTGCTGTACTACCTACCCAGGGCCCACCACGAGGAGGTAACTGCACGTCGAGCCCCGCCCGCCCTCTCGGGCTTGGCGATAAAAATCTCATTCAACGAACGTAAATGAAAGCAGATGATACTCGTTTGGTTTTCTTCTACGTGATAGTATGGGTTCATTCCAAATATAGCACTGACGACCTTGGGCTTTCAAATTCAGAGTTTTCTCACCATTTCGGTCATTTTGAGTCGGGGAACCCAGCGGAATTCTCACTTTGGCAAAATAAGAGCTGGTCTAGCGACGGGCACCTCCTCGTGGTGGGCCCTGGGTAGGTAAAGAAATCTTGCTTGCCGAGCCAAGACCTGCACATTCGCTAACAATCCCTACAGAGCGCCAAAAAGGGCCAACTAACGTCATCTAACGGTACATTGGATTTGTATCGAGTCTAATTGAACTAGTCCTCAAAGGTAAATGAAAGCATCATTTTCTGCAAAAATTGCCTTTTTACATGCATTCCTTCATCAAAAGTCGCTAAATTGGGCTATATTCAAGCGCAAGCCGCGGTATTTGGGATCCATGCAGTTTCTGCAAAGGCGGCGACATTTGGGCTCAACGCGCGCCATCTAGCGGCGACTTTCTGTACCAGGCATCTGGCAACCCTGCACATTGGTCACCTTGGGGAGGTCTCTGGCGGTCAGTAGAGTACGAAAGAGTTAAAAAAAAAACAGCAACATTTTCCTTAAAAATTGTATTGTTTGAGGCCTGGGCGTGAGCCCAAGTGAGCCCCTTCAGGCTCACTTAGGTTCTAAGTGGGCATTATTTGACTCATTAGTGTTGGCGAA